GAACCTGTAGTATTACATCCAACAGTCCCTGCATCATCCCACTTTCTATGCTAAACAAGGGAAGCAGGGCACACGTGTGAAGCGGTTGGCAATGCAGACAGGTTTTGCTTGGCAAGAATCTTGCCTTTTCAATGTGGTTCAGCTGTCTGTATAGTGAATGAACATTAATGCAATAATAACCAGTAACTTTTGAAGAGAGATTTTCACATCTCCCTTGTGTAGCTGTAATTCAGCCCCTTTGATCTTTAGGATAATTAGAATAAAACAGTGAGGCTTGCTAAGCTGATCAAAGTCTCTTGGTGGGTTAGCGTGCCCCCCTCCCGCACCGCTCTACTTTAACTAAAAACTAAATTGACTGTTCTGTATGAGATCACCATCTTGATGCTAAACCAGCCTTTGAAAACCTATATAGCAGTGACCACCTTCCTGGTCTCCACAGAAGCAGAGTTGCACTCCAGTAATGTTATACGAAGTACAACAGATTTGAGGAGGGTGGAAAGGTCAACAGGTTTCAAACTCTTCTGGGCAAAATGAATGATTGCATTAAAATATTTTCCACATGGAAATGAGTAGGAAACACTTTCATTGGCTGAATTTTCAAAGAGGGGTTGAGGGGTTAGCTTGCTACTAAAAAAGCAGCCAGTGTATGTTGTCAAAGTAAAAACCCAAAACACTGCTTGGATCACGTGGAGTTGTCCTGGGAGGACAAGCATCAAATCAAGCCATGATGTTTACTGGGTAGCACTGTGTCTGTGTTCGTGCACGCACATACACAGAGCATCCCCACAGTTACTCTCAGGTTTTGTTTTTGCCAATCTATTATGGGATACATTCAGGTGTGTGTGTCTCCCTAAGAATCTCTAGGTCCTCCAGTTTGATTCTTCCTGAGGTTGACCATAGAGTTGAACTAAATAACTTTGGAAATCCAAGAAAGGTAAACTCTCAGGTAAAACAAATTATTGTTTCAGTTTGTGGCTTTCATCTTTGGGGGGAGTTCTTCCTGTGATTTTTATAATATTCTTAAAATATCATTAAGAGATTTAACCTGCTGGATTTTTATAAAGTGTATTTTAGAAAGACACCACTATGACCGAGTGTTTCTTTTTGCTATAATATATGACACTGGATAAGATGACTTTATGCAGTCTTATCTTATTTGGTGCCCCTCCAAATAAGTTGAACTACAATGGCTGTTATTCCCAACTATCTGAGATTATGGGAATTGTAGGCCAATGGATCCAGAAGACATGGTATTGGGGAAGGCTGGCTTATTTAGTTGCTTTTTGAGTATGAGTAATAAAATACTAATGTGGGTAATATGAAGGCAAGTTGTTTGGGCTGGAATTTTGTTGCTGAATTAACTAAGCCAGACAAACTGGAGCTAGCAGGTATCTCCCTTCATGACTTTGAATTTCCTCTCAAAGGAAAGTCTTTGTTTCCTTTAGGTTGTTTCTGGTAGAAGCCATGTATGCAGGCCCGTAGCCAGGATTTTGATTCGGGGGGGGGGGGGGGCTGAGTCTGAGTGAAAGAGGGTCTACCCTAGCAAACCTTTTGTATTGTTACCCCAATACCCCCATGCATATGAGATATATTGAGCATGGTGATCAGATCATGATATGACTAAACATAACAGTTTAAATAATGTACCAGTAAGGCCTTTTCGCAGACCACCATGAGAATTTGGGGGGGGGGGGGCTGAAGCCCCCCAAGCCCCCCCCCCCCGGCTACATGCCTGCATGTATGTAAAAAATACTAAAACATTGGAGGGGAGGGGGGTTGCTATGTGAAAAAAAACTCTATTTACCTTTGTTAGAAGAATACAGTGATTGTGAGAAACTGGAGGTGGGATACTTGCCAGAAGAAAACAAAAACAAAAGCCTGTCTCCTCCTAGAGATCCGAAGGAAACGAGTTCCTTCAACGTGTTCTTTTCTCTCTCTCTTTCTGGCTAAGAACATCTCTATTTCTCACCTTCAAATGTGTTAGCAGTTTTACAATCAGGCTGTAGATAAAAAACTAACTATCGGCAGATGTTGCTCCTTTTTCTGAATTGCCGTTTGTGGCAAGTGATGGATAAAAGTGGAATTTGGATTGATGCCCCAGTCCTAGTTCCAGAGATGTACCTAGTGACCTCACACAATGCTTTTCTGAGAACCATTTCACATGTTGAAAGGCCATGGAAAGATAAGTGCAGTTGGCTAATGCTTCCTGTTCCCTTTTTACATCATGGCCCAAGGGAGATGTTTAGCATTTCATTTCCATCAGGGCATGCGGGCTAATCTGGTACCAGGGTGACTACATATTTCCCCAGAAGGGAAGAAGACAGAGGTGCCTTTGGGCCATTTTGGAAAAGAGCAAGTACCAGTTAGTTGTGGCTCCCATTTCCTCCCTAATAAAATTGCCACATTTGCTTCTGCCATAAGCCATTCCAAACGCATATTATCCCTTATACATATACAGATGAGAATTACTTGTTCATTTGTGAGGATAACATTTCAATATTGCGTTTTGCATTGGTGGGGGCATTATGAAGATTGTACATGAGGAATCCAACACAAAAATATTTTAAATAATTATCATTAAAAAAATACACAACCAAATTCCTTTCCTAGCACATACAAAACAATTGCTAAATTCCAGTATGAGGTCTGGATTTGAGTAGAAAACCAAAATGGTGAAAATAGATGTTCCCTCTTTCCAAAAGTGTATACTTTCATTGCGTTCCTGTTATTAGTCAGATTAATCCATGTTCCTCTTCTCATTTGACCATTGTGCCCCATTTCTTAAGAGTATCACCCAACCTATAAGTATCATTTTGTCAGTCAGAAAATAAATTAAATAAGTTGCACTTCCATAGTGTACGAGACAGGATATCAAGAAATTAAGGAAGTTGAAATACTAAAGAGTTTAGCACATGACAATAACCCACCTCAGGCTAAGTTAACCCCAACCAATGAATTTGTTCTGCTGTCTAAAACCAAATTAGCAATAAAATAAAGATCTAGTTGCAAGTAAGAACTGCTCTCCAGCTCTGTCAAAAGTAAGTTTTCATCATTTTAAGTGCCTACTATGAAAAGTACCCCCACCAATTCAAGAAAATCATACAGAAGAATATCGATTTTGACATAATAGCATAAAAGTACCCACAGTATCATCTGGATGGACTGAGTTGGGCAGAAAATGCTTTTACAGAATGGATTTATAAACAAGCTGATCAGTAGAGGGTGCTATTGCTGCATTATCTATTTCTGAGTCTAGGATTGATCAGGTAGCATCCACAACCAAGTTTTAATTCTGTTACAAAAAGTTGCTAGTGCTTTGGCTACTAAACTACCAGTCCCTTAAGAGAGGGATTGGAAAATTCAAGTCCTACCATTGTTACTGGACTGCAATTCCCATTAGCCCTTGTCAGTGAAAGAATGATGGGAGTTGCAGCCCAGTACATTTGAACAGCCACACATTAGTCATCGTTGCTTTAGAAGACAATGTTTATAAAGCAATTACTCCAAACTCCCTTGAGCAGGGCCATTCTAGGAAAGGGAGTAAGAGCTAGTAGCTGATACTGTACACAGACAAGCAAGGTAAGGCTGGAATCCTATTGGTTAGGGGATCATGAGTGCTTTTAAGTTCCCTGAACTGCATATTTTATTTACTGTCCCTAACTTTTTCATTCTGTTGTTTTTAGAGGCTTATTTTTCCATTGTTGTAATACTAAAAAGGTGAGATATGTCATAATTAAATACCGGCACAGATTATCAAGGGAAAAAAAAAACATGTTAGCTGAAGTATGAATACAATTATATAATAACATCAGAAGCCAGAGGGTCATAATTTCCTCAACAGTTTATCCTTGTTGGCAAGGTATGACTTAGTTCAGCAGAAAATGCTAGATAGAGGCCATTGTAGGCACATGTATGTGTTCCTTATATAAGTGGGTCTCCTTTTTGGGGGTACATCAGGGGTTAGTATTCTCTTCCTCCCTGTACAGTGCCCAAATCCCATTTCCAATTTTCTTGTAAAGCCCTGAAGCCATTTCACATGGCCATTATGTGCTTTACAGTGAGAAGGAAGGAACTGAAAAGCTTTTGGCTACCCTTTCATCGCTAGATGCCCAGTGATGACACCAGTGTGATCTGTGGCTGTGATGATCCTTTGGAGAATTTTAGTGGTAATCTAATAATTGTGAGTACAGTCATTGAAAGTAGTCAGAAGTCACTCTGATCATGCCTGCTTGCTGCAAAGCACAGAATGGTTATGTGTGATAGCTTCAGGGCTTTATACTAAATCAAGGGGGATATATAGCTCAGGATAGTGTAAGTCTGCATGCAGATATTTATGCTGACCTAAGGGAATGTTGGATTGAGAACTAAAGATGTCAAATGCATATGAAGAAAAATACTGATGTCTCCACATTCTGAGGTCATCCTATAACAAGTCCTGAATATAGTCAATATGATTTGCTTCTACTCAAAGTTATGACCAGTTAATAGTATGTTTTTTCATGAAAAATACTGTTGTACAGTAAAATGCAGAATGATTTTGAATGCAACCCAGTATGCGCTGAAAATACCAGTTCTTTTAGCAACTGGAACATACTATCCTTAATTATAGCTGAAAATTTCACATGTGAAAGTCCTGAGTTTGTTTCTTTAACAGAAACTATTATAAAAACAAATGTCAATGACTTATACAAAATAGTTGCAGCATGACTGGAAAATAACACGTACTCTAGTCTTGGCATTTCAGTATTATATAATTACTTACATAATCACAAAAATGCCAACAGCGTTCCATCTTGTAAACCAGCCTGACTCAAGCCTGGTGCCCTCCAGATGTGCTGGAGCACACTCCTAGCCCAGAGGCAAAAGTTCCAGTCGAACACATCTGGACACCAGCCGTTTTCAGGAACACCACTAAAACCAAATATTTTAACTTCTGCATTCCCAAATAACAAGGAAATAAAACTAATTTACAGGCCACACAGCAGACAGAAATACACAGATTTGCCTGATAGATTTTTTTTATTATTATTGGACAGATGAACTAAAATAAGCCAACAATATAATTATATGCCAACAGCCCTCTCTCTAGCGCTGGTAGTGATAGACTGTGTGCCCCTTTCCATCTTGCCCCTGCACTCCTGTTCAATGCAAAAGAAATGATTGTGGCTTTTATCACTGTGTCTGAACTATAATCCCTTCACTATGTCAATCCTGGTATTTGTGTCTGGGAAAGAAGGAGCCAAGGGCTGGGCAGAAAACTAGGAGCAGTAAGTGGACACTCTTTCTGATTCACAAGCGGAGGCCTGGTACTTTGGAGAGCCACATCCATTAAGTGTGCCGGAAGCCATGCTGCTACTCTAGTTGAGCCAGAAGCTCTTTTCCCCATTAGAAGCCACCCAAAGGGCTAGATGCAAAAGGGTCTGAGAGAAGGGGAAGGAGAGTGTCAATTTAGGTAAAAACAAATAAATTTCAATGCCACCCCTCCCAAAACAGCCTCTTTACAAGTCATTTCTTATAACATTTTAAAATGGCAGTGCCACCATCCTAGAGAGACGAAGAGAGACAGAAAGGGGCTTGCATTCAAGGGCTTCCCCCCACCCCCAAGGGGGTGGGGAGGGGCAGAACAAAACAAAACAAAAACCTCAAAAGCAGTAGCCCAACTCAAAAAAATGTGGTTCTTCTCTAAAAACAGCACTCATCATCCATCTGATGCGGAGGAGAATAAAGGCAGCAGGGGAGGGAATAAAACAAAACTGATGCAACTTCTTGCCAAGGATGATGCATTTAACCAAAGCTCCATACAGTCCCGTATGTCTACATGTCCTGTGGTGGCAGTAGAATTGCTTAAACTGTCATGGCTGTGTATGTTTGTATATATACACATATGCACATATACATACACATACACACAGAGAATATAGAGTATTTTTTTTAAAAAAAGTGTTAGCATTTAGTTTTGCGCCTGTTGGGAAGACTCATCTCTCTTTCACATGGTTCTGTGCTCCGGCGCTACTACTGCTCCCACTGCTGCTGCTGCCATTGCCGCTGCCGCCACCACCATTGCCGCTTCCATTACTGCTGACGCTGCCACTGGTGGTACAGAGGACCTCTGTGAGGTCGTCCATGATGGTGGTTTCTTTAGGGTCCACCAGGTTGAACTCCCTGATGAATAAGATGAAGTGTATGTAGAGTGTGTTCAAATGTCCATGCAACTCCAGTGCCAATGTTTCCTTGAAGTGGGAAGAATAGATGTGGGCCAGCACATGGAACAGGTACTTGCAAATCTTCTTCACTAGAGACTCAAAGGAGTTGGGGAATTCCTTGCCTGCCAAAAGAGAAAAGTGGGAGTGAAGCCATCAGAGAAAAATAGGTGAGAAGCCATGATATCTTTCTGAATTCCCAGAACATTTCAAACATAGTAATCCTGCTCTGGATTATTACACTCAGTCTCCTGTATTCTACATTGATTCTTTACTATGCTTCAAGTATGGCTGTCTTAGATACCAAACTGTACATGAACATCTCACAGGTTTCTGATTGAATCTTCAATGTGCCAGAGCCAGCTACTGACACAGCAATGGTAATGCATGAAGTTTATTTAATTTGATCTGGAACAAATACCATTAAAACAATGCCCTTTAATATCTATGCTTGCTCACGGTTTGTCATATTTGCATATTATAGTCTTTATATCTTCAATATCTGTAGTAAAAATGATAAGACAATGCCTGAGGCAGATATTCCTTACTCAAAACATACCGTATTTTGTAGGAAAGACATCCTCATCTGTCACAAGCTTCTGTACTGAACTCATGACGAAATCAACATACTGAGGGGCAGTACACTTGATCTTCTTTCCCCGTTCATCATACCAGTAGTATTGTCTGTGGAGAGAATTGAAAACACAGTCACATCTGTCCTGGGTGCTTAATCCCATGTCATCCAAACCCATTGAAGCAAATGCAGAAGCACAAGGTCCTAGCTAGTGCCCCAAAATCCCAAATTCCCTATGTGTAAGGTCTGTTGCTGGTGATGAGGCTCCAGAAATTGCCCTGGCACCTAGCATTGAGGCAGAGGCCTTTGGGATGAAACAGATGTTTTCTGTTCCCAAGGCAGCTTTATGACAGTCAGGGACGGCTCAACCCATTACGCAAAGTAAGCATTTGCAGTATAGTTGATTTTGCCCAGGGGCGCTCTTGAGGCGCTCTTGGGGGAAAATAGACCTTGACATATGCGAGTTGTAGTTACTGGGATGTATAGTTCACCTACAATCAAAGAGTATTCTGAACTCCACCAATGATGGAATTGAACCAAATATGGCACACATAACTCCCACGACGAACAGGAAATATATATATATATATCAGTGATTGGTTGAGGGGGGCGGGGGGGGGGGGGGGCGGCGGCGCCAAAATACTGTTTGCTTACCATTGAAAATTACCTAGGGCCGCTGATGACAGTTCATGGATACTGGTGCCCCTTTAAGAAGTACTCCATTTACTTGAGTATAATGAGCAATTGAATGTATTGTACACCTCCATTTTGAAAGAAATGGTTTTGCCCTCCAATGTAATTCATTCAACAGCACAGGCATGGCAGGTCAGGAAGGTAGCAGCATGAACAAGGTAATTTGGGATGAAATGCCCCTCTATCAGGCTAAGTCTGGTGAACTTGCCAGTCTCACACAATTCTCAACTGGCCTCATTCATGAGATCTTCAGAACCAAGGGGAAGGTTTTGAAGGCCTTGTGAATTCGACCTCTCAAATCTCAATTTGGCAATGTAATTTAGTAAAAAAAGGTGAGCATTACTGGAGTAAATATAGTATTTGAGTGGCCTCGCAGCCAAGACAGTCCACTCTACTACTTGGCCCGTCTCCTTCCCCTCTCCCACTCCTTCATGGTATTTAATCCATGGATTTTTTTTTGTCGTGTCAGGAGTGACTTGAGAAACTGCAAGTTGCTTCTGGTCCATAGATCACAGTGGTTAGTCCACTTGCATGACACAAAGGTTGCTTTAGTTGTGTAAAAATAAGCTCCCATAACCCAAACTGAAGACTAAACTTTCAGCATCTCAGTAGTTGTATGTTCTTTTATTGTAACAGCTATTGCTTTGAAAGGTTACTAGAAAGACAAAATACATAAATATGCAAGTGGATTAGAAACACACCTGTTCCCCTCTCCCGCCTGACATGATGGCTTTATTCAGTAGAAACCAGGGGAGGCGAGTCCTATTTCCCTTTCACAAACTAATATGTGCCCTCTAGAGATGGGAACATTCAAATAAATACAAAGTGTTAAGTTCTCAATAAGCTCTTGAAACAAAATGTTCCAAATGCTAAATTTATACACAGTTTAAGTTTAATTCTGTGTAGTAATATCACCTATCAGGAGATGGCAGTATATGCAAATTTTAACAGCAAATGGCCATTACTGCAGGTTCTAGAAGACTTGGCATTTCAATGTATCTTTGCACCAAGTGTGAGTATTTTTAATGGTAATAATGTGCTCTTTATTGTAATACAGAATGCAAGGAGGGGAAATGTAACCCTTTTCTTTCTTCCTATGGACCCAGCAAAAAGCACTCCTTTGAAATATATCTACATTGGAAATAAAACCCTTTGGGTGTTTCCTCCTATATCCTTTTTTTAAAACTAGCCAATTTCATCAGGTACACATCAGAAAAGGAAAGGCTCAACATGCCACAGTATTAAGCAATAACAACCAATGTATGCAGAAAGGATCACTTAATTCTTGAAGCAGCTAGACACAAAGGCAGCATTCTAAATGTTTTTATCCTGACACAGCATTAAAGACAAGACTCCACAATCATTAATACACACCAGTTCTACAAAACAAGACCACCCTAAGGTCTTGTACAATTGTGAGATTCCTTGCTCCAAGCACATTCGTCTAAATAAAAAGGCCGTACTTTCCCCCTTGCTCTAGGGGCAACAAATAGACATGTAAACAATTGATCATGAAGCCAAACGCTTGTAAGAAAACAAGGATCTGGAGACTGTTAAAACAATACTAATCCAAGAGCTGGACTACTTCAAAATCCATGCTGTTGTGAAGGCAAGGACTGCCAGCACCACTGAGTCATGGAGGAAGCCATAAAGTAAGTCTGGGCTGTTTTCCTCAAAAGGGCAAGGCTTCCTTCCTGACTTCAAAACTGTTCCTACTCTTGCATAACTTTTTGGAGTTCATCAGGTAGACAGACGTATCCTCTCTTGGGGATTTGCTTGCTATCCGAGTTTCCTAAAACCAAGTTAACTTTCAGGAGAGGATTAAACAGGATTATTCAAGTAGCTGCATATTATCTGTGGCCTCACACAAAAGTTTATTTTTTCAATAATTCCAGACAGAGTAAGCATAAATTATTCTCCCAACATGACCCTGTTATTTGTCCTTTTGCTTTAGGGAAAATATCCCACTCTAACCAAAATACCGAACAAGAGAAACAAGGTCAACATGCCAATTTCTGGTTATCATCAACACAGCAAAATAGTTTTGCTGTTTGCTTGAAAATCCAAATATTAAGAAACAACATAAAGAGCGCTTTGAGAATGTGAAGGGAAAAGTAGCTGCCTCTAGTTTCACAGCTTAAAAGACCAAACTTAAAAGAATCCCAAGGTCCTTCCACATAGCCCTATATCCCAGAATATCAAGGCAGAAAATCCCACAATATCAGCCTTGAACTGGGTTATCTGAGTCCACATTCAGGTAATATGATACTTGCTGCCTTGATATTCTGGGATATAGGGCTGTGTGGAAGGGCCCCCCGCTGTCAAAACCTGGTGGAGTCTGTGGATTCAAAGGAGGATATCCTGTCACCTCAGCTCTTGGGCACTGTCCATTAAATTAGCTGCTGTCCTGATCAAGATCTCTAAATTATGATCCTTGCCTAAGGGCAGTGCACATTCTTCATGTACTTAAAGAGCACACCTGTTGGATTAGTCTGCTCTGTGGCAGGATTGCCCATGTAGATGCTGTTTAGGGCCTAACTAAACAGATTACTTCCTGCTCCATACATTCAGTGAACACTCCTTTCTATATCTTCATCTCTGCTTTTAAAAGAGGGATATATCTTTGGAAAACAAAAGTAACTGAAAGAAACACAGATTTCCCTGTTTATAAAGGCAACTGCCACCACGAGTATTAGCCACATTCGGTTTATGCAGAATAAGCTCAACCTAAAATGTTTCTTGGGCAGAAAAGGTGCTACTTTGAACACAGCTGTTTTCAAGGAAGAGACACAATCTGAAGTAGTACACAAACTCCACATGAATCACCTGCTCAGCAAAGTGCAATTAGAGGCCAAGCATTCGGTTGTTTGTGTCCTTTGCGTCACGCAGAGAAGCTAGATTGAATTCCAGATGAAAACTCGCTAAAAGTTCAAGAGGCCAAATGGAGCCACGACTGCCTTGTGACCTGAGCAGCTCAACAGGAAAGTCCTGCTTTGGACAAATGGCAGAAATGCCCATTTTAGCAAGAGAGAAACAAAAAGACCTAAAAATGAAATTGGATTCCTGGCTGGGGTGTTCATGATTTCTGTGAACAGCTTAGTTATGTAGATTTTGTATATGTTGTATGCATTTTTAAATTGTAAGGTGTCTTGAGTTCTGATTTTGGGCAAAAGATGGGACAGAAACTTGAGGATGGTGTGTTCTCAGAAGATTCAAGTTCCACAATTTTTTGGAAGCTTTGACTACAGTTGCAGAAATAAGTGGGAAAGAAGGTCAAAATACAGATAAATCCTAAAAGAAACTATTATCCACTAAGAATCTCTACTTCAACATTATAAGGCAACAGCTAACAGGCCACAATTACCCAAATTTGTTCACTACTGAAGACAGAAAATAGATTCAACGAAGGGGAATAAAATAGGGAGAACCAAAGATGGAACTAGATCTACTGCTGCAGCTGTACTAATTACTTAGCAAAAGTGCTCAGAGCTGCTTAAAGAATTCCATGCTCTGGTTACATCCTGTATTGACTACTGCAACGCTCTCTACGTGGAGTTGCCTCTGAAGACTGTCTGGAAGCTGCAATTAGTCCAACCAAATTAGCCAGATTACTAACGGGAGCGGGGTACAGGGAACACACAACTCCTTTGTTGCGCCAGCTCCACTGGCTGCCAATTAGCTTCCGAACACAATTCAAAGTGCTGGTTTTAACCTACAAAACCCTATACAGTTCTGGCCCGGTTTACCTGTCCGAATGTATTCTCCCCTATGAACCATCAAGACAATTAAGATCTTCTGGTGGGGCCCTGCTCTCGGTCCCGCCACTTTCGCAATCACGTCTGGTGGGAACGAGAGACAGGGCCTTTTCTGTGGTGGCCCCTCGGCTATGGAACTCTCTCCCTATTGAGATCAGATCTGCCCACTCCCTCCTGTCCTTCAAGAGGCTGGTGAAATCTTGGCTATGGAAGGAAGCATTCCCAGAGTAATGGATGAAACCGGCTACAGAACAAAGTTATCGACCACACATACAGACTGAGTTGGACATGATTTTATCTTGGTGATTTGACTTATTTGTAATTTTAAGCGATATGTATTTTAACTCGTTATTGTATGATGTTTTAGATTGTACTGTTAGCATTGAATCTTTGCTTTAAGCCGGTCTGAGTCCCTCTACGGAGGTTGAGAATATCGGGAAATAAACCTTTTAAATAAATAAATAATAAATAATAAAGAGGCAAAACTATAATATTTGGAAAGAAAGTCCAGCTTGAGCAGAAAAAAAAACCACACACACACACACACTGCTCCCTAAGCTTAAATATTTTGCTTATGCTTGCACAGAAGCAGCTAGGTTCTTCTGGAAGAGCACAAGGAAGATATTATATCCAAGAAAAAAAAATATTAAGCAGCAATATAAAACAGAGTGAAGCTTCAGTTTACAAACATGATTGTTCATCTGCTCCAGGGCACAGGAAAAACAACTACTTTGTTTAGTTTGATCATAACAACTTAACAACATTGCACTCAGAGGCAGCCTATTTCCTGTTATCCTCAAACCTCACTTTCCCAGAAAACTGAAATAATGGTATGGAAACATTTTGCTCTACTGATATACTTCTGCCCATAATTAGCACTTAAATCGATGGTTCAAATGTGTCCTAATACTTTCCTTTACCTCATCTTCCAACAGATACTCAGTTTAGGCCATCACTGATCTCTCTCTTTTTTATTAAATTAATAATAATAATAATAATAATAATAATAATAATAATAATAATTTATTTATATACTGCTCTATCTCCCCTAGGTGACTCAGGGCAGTTTCCAAATCACAAAAAACACAAAAAACATACCATGTAAACATAACATAAGTGTAAAATTACCAGAATAACACATATACATTAAAAACAAATCCACCTTATTCTTTTGTGACAAGATTAGCTGTTAAGAGTCGAAATTGCAAAAAAAAGGGGGCCTAGGCAGTTTGAGATGGCTGGGGCGGGGCTAGTACAAGTAAGACATGGGGGCCCGGGGAGTGGGTAAGGTGCAATAACCAGGCCCAAATATCCATAGTACAGTCTTAGTCCATTTCTCATCTAATAGCAAATGTTAAACCATAAAAACAAACAACTCTTGTTCCCTGGCAGAATAAGGGACCAATTCTCACAAGGGCCTAGCAGTTCTATATAGCGGAATAGCCTGGGAAGACATTGATTACTGGGGAACTTCTTAGGAGAATCCCATAATTATATATAGGATATCAGCACCCTGGTCTGCTGTCCTCTTATATCCAACCCACTCAGTTGTATCAAATACTGCAAAGTCTTCAGATAGCTGTATTTCACTGCAAGAAATTCAATAGACACAATGCAAAGCAGTGAAGTATTGGTGGAGAGGATACAAGACTTGGGCCAGGGAGACTTTGCTCCGAAGTAGAGTGACTGCCTCATAAATCACCCCTTCTCCAGCTAATCCTGTTCCACATGCTTGAGAGGATAAAACAGTATTATCCCCATCTATGTTACCTTGTGATTCTTAGAGGAAAGTGGGACAGAAGGGATGACTGCAGACTTTTACAGTTCGCTACATGCAGCAGAGCTGGAGATGGGAGAGGAAAATACCATTGCAAGAGAGCAAGCTAAGCATGAACAAAAATGATGGAAACATCCTACAAAGACTAAGAGGAAAAGAGATGGGGGAAGATCTAGAGGCTACCTTTACCCTATTTTTCATCACTATCTGGACTTCTCACACCCCACACAAGTTATATTTATGGAAGTTGCTTCATAAAAATATCCATTTGCAGTCTAAACACAAGTGTTGGCAGGGAAACATATGTCCAGAAGGGGTCTCTGGAGGCATGACTCCCTATTTTTGGCCATTATTTTTTTATCCGTGAAAGCTGAAGTTTCAGTTGAAGCCTGCACAGGAGCAGTAACTCCATATGTATGCATTCACAGAAGCCACAAAGAAAAATGCATAAATTAGTACAAAACTGATAAATATTTTGTTTGGACAAGAAGAAGGCTGGATAGATATCAAGATTTGAAATATGGTTGAGAGAGAGAGATAGGAGGGCAGTATAGAAGAAAAAAATGAATAATTGCTCAGATTAACAGTGATACATAGAATTAACTTCAGCTGTGGAGGGCGAGTCAGAGACATCCATCACCAGCAGAAGAGAGGCTAATACCACCAAGACATGATGGTTGAAAGGAGGCAGTGTTCCAAAAGAACAACACGGCAAGAGTGGCAATGCCAAAGGAAAAAAGTTTCTGAGAGAAAAGGTGTGGAAGATCATGACAGTATACAGGATAACTAGGGAAACATTATTTTATGCCATCAATCTTTAATCTTCTGTACTGATAAATATAGGTACCACAGACTGTATCCTGAATTCTTGAAATCACATGGAATTTTACAGCACAAAGCAGCTTAAACTTATCTCTAGAAATCTCATGTCTAGCTATGTGCTAGAAAACCCCAAATGGGAATTCTTATCAGTTAAGTCTTAAGGTTCTCTAACATCCAATGCCATTCATAGCTATCTGCCTTATGTTTTCCATATGAACTTTGAGCTGGCATTGTTCATCATACTCTGAAAAATAAAACAAATGTATCCTTTTACTTTCAACAGTTCATTGCTTTTTAGAAGACCATATCAACTACAACAGAGGGTAAAGTTTAGAAGCATATTGTTTCCCTACTCCCTGTGAAATGGCCAACTCATGGTCACAACACTTGAGACTTCTGGCAGCTGCACTATCTGGAGGTTTTATGCCGAGTGGCCCAGCTTTCATTCCTGAGGTAAAGAAGGCCCCACAGGCTTGCGGCACAAAATTAGTTTTTTGTCCTTCTACAATGTTCTTTGTGGTATTTAAGCTACGCTCCCAAAATGTAGAACTCTGCTCCAGAATGCTAGAAGTGCAGGACAGGGAGAAAATGGTAGATGTGGCTATATTTCAGAAAGCATATCCATTGCTCACTTTTTTATAGTAATACTTCAGTGAAATTTAGAAACTAGATGCATCAAACCTTTATTTTAGCAGTAACAAGTTCAATGTAATTCGCATATTATTTTCACAGATTTGGTATGTGACCAGCTGACAGCAAATTGTTTGATACTGTTCCCATGAAAGTATTATTTCGAAACATTTAATACTCATAAATCATGATATGGTTAAAATTTGCCTTGGTCGGGCTACACCTGGAATACTGTGTCCAATTCTGTGCACTGCAATTGAAGGGAGATGTTGACAAGCTGGAATGTGTCCAGAGAAGGGTGACTAAAATGATCAAGGGTCTGGAGAACAAGCCCTCTGAGGAATGGCTTAAAGAGCTGGGCATGTTTAGCCTTCAGAAAAGAAGGCTGAGAGGAAACAGGATGGCCATGAGGTGAAGTCATAGGGAAGAGGGACAAGGGTGGTTTTCTGCTGGCCTGGAGACTAGGACATGGAACAATGGCTTCAAACTACAGAAAAGGAGATTCCACCGGAACATTAGGAAGAACTTCCTGACTGTCAGAGCTGTTCAGCAGTGGAACTCTCTGCCCCAGAGTGTGGTGGAGGTTCTGTCTTTGGAGGCTTTTAAACAGAAGGTGGATGGCCATATGTCAGGAGTTCTTTGAATGCGATTTTCCTGCTTCTTGGCAGGGGGTTGGACTGGATGGCCCACAAGGTTGCTTTCAACTCTAAGATTCTATTTTGGACTTTTTTTTTTTACTTACCTTCATGCATATAATCTAATAATTGTAAGATCACACTTTTCACCACCTACTAATGCCACTATACTAATACCATCACTGCTTTTAATCGCTTAGTTTAGAATAAAAGTACCACCCAAAGTATCCCATTACCCCAAGCAAAGCCATCACTTACGTATTGCACACTGCCATGGTCTGACACGACTCTCCTGTACAGAATTCAGAGATTGTACTATATTGTAAATTGATATGATGAAAAAAGGTTGTTGCTGAAAGAGAGGGGAAAAACATCAAGACGTTTCCATTACTTTTGGCTGCAGAAAAAAAGATGCTTGTAAACAAGACTTAAACATTTTTACAATTAGACCAACTACAATATTTTCAGTCCCCTTTCAGTCCCCCTTTTTTCTCAGAAGAATTTAATAGTTGTGATTTCACATGCATCAATAAAATGTTTCTCTCAACAATGAGCATCATCACATTGCTTCAGGGAACAGCTGACAGATCTATAGGAGTCTGATCCCAGTCACCTTTCAACTATATTTGGGTCCTTTCACAACATTGTGATTCCACTTCCTTGTGGTTACTGGTTTGGTCAAGGCCACTAGTGCTCTCTGATTGAGATTTTTAAGAATACAATTTCCAAAACTATAATTCCCAGGATTCCATTGGACAGAACTATGGCACAAAGTGTGAAAAGTCACTGACTGCTTCTATGCTCCCCTTTTTGAAAATGTAGGAACACAAATGCAAAACAGCTTTATACAGAGGCTTTTTGAAGCAGGAATAGTCTGACATGCACTCAAATGCCCTTCCACAATCAGAAGTGAGATAAATGGTGACAAAAAAGCTATTTTGACTGTGGTACCCCAATTGTGCAATACCCTTCTCAAGTAGGTTTGACTACTCTTTCCTTACTATCTTTTAAGGTGATAGAATAACTATATTTTCTCATGTCTTACATTTTTAATGTCTGATCAAGAATGAACTCTGATTTGTGCTATTTCATTGTAAGCAAATAGCTAAGACAGACCCAGGGATGCTAACAAAGCCACTGCACCAAAACAAACAAACAATTAAAAATAAAATCATGTTTATATGAGCCTCCTTTATACATTGATATTTGCAAGGCCAATTTGGGTACTTATTAAAATTGAAGGGAAAGGACTGTTATCAGAAGCAGCCTAAAATCTTTCCTAACTGGCATATCATCCTTATCAAACTACTTAATTAAAACATTGTTCAAAAGTGGATGAAGCCCATAAAGACCACAATGTGCCTTGAGATTTGGGAGAAATCAGCAGTCTTTTCCATCTCTGAATGATACAGAAATGGTCCCATTCTTAATTGGGTCCTTCTGTTTTCACACTGATCAGAGTTCTGCGTTGTTCCTTACTTGAATCAACCATACTTCTATTTTGGCATTCAGATTCCTATTCCCAAATTGCAACTGGAACCAAATTATCAGATTAATCCCAGCAGAAGAAAATGGAAGTTCTCTCCAATCATACCTACAATAGATCTCCTTTTTAGGTATTCCTAAAACCCCTATCGTGCATTGTAAATTACATCATTTCCTTTTAATTAAGAAAATCTACTAACATGAAAACTAGTTACTAGAAGAGGTTGTTAAAAATAGTATAGTACTTACTGTTGCTAGCTAGCCACTCATTAAGATCTATTTCGCGTGGTAACATGACTAATTCTTTGAATTCAAAGTCAGTAATCCTGGACTTTGTATATTCTGGCTCTAGGTAGAGTTTCTTTTCTTCTGGTGCTGGCTTTTTACCATTTGGTTTTCCCTTGGATTTCCTGAGGAAGAAAGACAGAAACAGTGTGAAAAATTATCATCTGAGATACACTTGATCTAAACCCACTTCATATATAGCCCCTGCATATATTCTTGTAAGTATGTCATCCAATTTTCTTTAACACTAAAGAGGATGTGGTGCTGCCGAGTGTCTGGGAAGGAAGGCTTCTAACAGCAACCAAAGATAAGGCATATGCCCCCTGAATGGCTCTGCATGGTTTGAAAATGCTATTGCCTCTCTGCCCTCCTTTATGAAAACAGGATATGAGCCAGGATGTTTTATTTAAGCTGCCTTCTATCAGATGATCCATTAATGCAACCTTCTATAGTACAGGTGTCCACTCCAGATGACTGCAGCTTCAAATATTTAGAGCCATAAATGAATCTAATGAATCATACAGCCAGTGTTTTGGACAGTTATGTGGAAATATAGGGAGACCCGAGATGCATCTCCCAAACAGAAGAATAACAAAATGTTATGAAAGATGTAATGAAGGGAAATTCAGGACAGGTCCTTTAGATGCCAAAACCTCAATCCTCTTATCTATTTATGATTCCATATTATGTAAACAAAGCATCTGAAAGTCCTATCTATTCACTCTGCATCGCTGGTCCTTTGGTCCTAACAATTATGACTGGTTTTCTGTCCTTGTCAGCTGGATCTTGTCTCTGTCATGCTTCTTGTGGCCCACCCAATGTCCTCCGTGTATAACGACAGGTCAGGATTGGTGGACATAGCACACGTTCCATTTTCCCAACATGAAACAGCTCTCTTTAGACCTGCTGGGGCTAACAGCCCTAAGAAAATCAACATGGTTTCAAGGGAAGTCACCCGCATGGAAGACCACAATGAGTTTGGAGCAGGAGGCAGAGTTATCAGTCACCCTACCTGTCCATCAGACTAGAGATGTTATTTCACTAGCAGGCATCTGTTAACTGGAGAAAGCATACTTGGTCATACAGGATCTACTGTGCACCAGAGCTCTTGGTTGCAGATGTAGCAGCTTAGGTGGCCAATAGGCAGATTCTTGTGAGGTTTGCCTTTGCTTGTGGTTTTGGCACTGGGCTGAAACTATGTTGGGGAAAGATGGAGATTGTATGCCCCTTGCCATCACTCTGTACAAATTAATCTCAGTAAGGGATTGGATTGAGATGGAGTAAAGAAATGCAGAGTACTGTCCAGTTTGGGAGCACCCCCCACCTCATTTGTTGATTGCCCAAAGGCACACACAATAGCATGGGGATTTCACTGGCTTCCACCCAATAGTTTTCACAGCAGACAAACTGGAGTGTGAAGTTCATCAGTTAATAACTGAATAGCAAATGTATGCATCTACTGCCCTATACTCTCCAAAGACTGCAATAGCTCTAAGTCATAAATGCATGGCATTCCAACTGATTCAAATAATCCGTTACTTGTATGTTTTTAAGCAAACTAGTTTAGCCTCGGACTCTTCCTTATCACTGCTAGTCCTTCCTGAGGATGCACTAAATTCCACTAAGCTATCTGTCTGTGCTTTTACCTTTCCTCCCACCCCAGAAGGCATAGCTTTGCACACAGCTCTTTCCATACTGTGGTATCGCATGCACACCCTGTAAGGAAATGACTGAGTGTGCCAATTCCAATTCCCTTCAGAAATTCATTCCAAGCTTTCCAGACCTTCAGAGGAATAGCTTCCAAAAAGAGCAAAAACTGTTTTATGGAGCAGTAATGTGATCACATTTTCCTATCACCCAACAATTTAAATTCAGTGAGTTCGGAGTAGTTCAAACCATGGTGACTATGTTCCAATTCTGTTGAAGCTCAATATTGCAAAAAAAGTTTGCTTCCACCACAGAATATACTAGCAAAACATAATAAAATAATGAAGTAAAATAATTCCCAAATCATCCCACAACATCTAGCCATGTTTCTGTATCAGAGCACATTATTTCAATCAGTACTTAATTTGAAATGCTTGAAGCACACAAATGTAGACATAAAAGTTAAAGAAGCAAATGAAAAGCTCACTTCAATATGCTTAAATGTCAGCTAACACTGAGCTTCAGGAATGCAAACTTTTTTTCTTTTCCCCTCAAAGTCAGATTGCATCTCCTTGCAGTTTCCAAGGAAATAAACCTCAGCTATGTTAGCCAGTAAAAACATGAAGGCAAACCAACTCTCCAGGCAACTCTTCAAGCAAAGGTTACTTGAAAAACCCAAACTAGCCTTGATGCAAATATCAGAGGCCCACCTCACCCTGCAGTAGAAAAGGAGGTACAATTAACAGAGAAGAAGAATACTTAGGTCATGATGCAAAACACTGCTGCCATTTAGGTTTGCTAGCCATCACACAGACATACATATGCGCGCATACACACACTCCTTTACACATTTGTGGATTTATTTGCCAAGGGTTCCCTCTACAACAGCATTAGAAAATAAATTAATATGCCAAGTGTTTTCTATCAGTCTCTCTAATGATATTTTTCTACACATCTATCCCCTAAATGCTACAGTACTGAAAGCCTATTCAAGCCTAAAAACCAAGCACTGGGTTGACAAAGGATTCAATCTGTTCAAGGCAATATCAAAGTTGTTTGATAACAGTAAAAGAGCAAGAAGATTAATGTTATGTAATTGCTTAAAATTGAGCCTGATGGTGCCTTCTGATAAGACCCAGCTCTAATTAATAATGAGCAAATAAATCCATTTCTACTTTTGTGTCATTTAAGGTTTGCATCCACTCCATCCCATCCTGTTCACATATACCGTTACATCTGAAGTGTTATTTTATTTTTTCCTACAATCCATCTGAAAATTCTTATCAAATTAACACATTTTCAAAATACATTTTGATATCTGTTAGACAAGAACTGTCCCAGTAATAAAATCCTTACATAATCTTCAAAGTTTTTTTTCTTTAAGTACCACACCACTGATATTTTAAATGAGATATCTATGAGTGGGAATGTGTGGGCCCTTCCACATAGTCATATAACCCAGAATATCAAGGCAGAAAATCCAATAAACCAGTGGTTCTCAACCTGTGGGTCCCCAGATGTTTTGGCCTATAACTCTCAGAAATCCCAGCCAGTTTACCAGCTGTTAGTATTTCTGGGAATTGAAGGCCAAAACATATGGGGAACGACAGGTTGAGAACCACTGCAATAAACACTGCTTATCTGAGTCCACACTGCTATATATTCCAGTTCAAAGCAGAAAATGTGGGATTTTATTCAGCTGTGTGGAAGGGGCCTATGTAACACACAAGACTTTCCTTTCAAAAGCATGGAAATAGGGGTCCAATTCTTCCTCAGGTATTTCCATGTATTGTGAAGCAAAATGCATTGTGCACAATAAATGACAAAGGCCTATTTATATATAATTGAATTTTTCACAATTGAAAGGATATATGTTTATCTTTTGTACTCTGAGATCTGTGTCCCAAGTATCTATCTATGACATTTAACCAGAGGAATTCATGAGGACAAATAGCACAGCTACATATAAATCAAACATGTACAAATGGGTAAAAAAAACCCCAGAAAATAATGTTTAGGTAAATATTTCAAAAAGTTTAGATCTATACAATATATTTCAATGATCATACTTTTTGGAGAGGTTACTTTTTAATGTAGGTGGAGAGGTTACTTTTTAATGTAACCTCTCCACCTACATCATGTATAGTACAACAAATTGCTTTTAACAGTCAACTGCACCACTATGGATGAGATAAAGGTTATTAAAATGTTTTGTTTTTAAAAGATAGCTAATCTTCGCAAATATAGCTTTCCTTCCTCATTAGTCAAGTCACCCATAGATATGTGTAAAAAGAGGTCAACCTGTCTGAGGAGGAAGAGTCTTACAAAGGTAATAACATAAATCACAATCTTGTTAAAATCCAGAGGAACAGTTATAGGTTCTCTTCCCATTTAAAACTTCTAAAGTTGCCAGATATCCTTTGTTCTCCTTCTGGATGCTCTTTACTTCAGAGGGTCACAGCTGCTTATAAAAGTAAAGAATGACCCTGATTTACATAACATAGTCCAAAAGTATTTCTTATAGTTTAAGTTCAGCAATACTGTCACCCTTTGAAATACATGCAAATATCAAGCTACAATCCAAGTACCGTTGTTACTTCCCTGGAAACCCATCTGAAAAAGTCAGAGAAAAATTACACTCCAAATTTCCTGTTCTTTTGTCCCCTTTCCCTATAGATTGAAAGCTTTTCCAACCACATTATAAGCAATGTTTCTATCTGATAGAAAGCTGTCATCTTGACAGATCTGATAAAGGACTTTGACTTTACAACATTGTATAAGATTATGTTTATTGTTAATCGAGCTGTGGATATGCCAACATCTCCCAGAAGCATTTTATTTATTGCTTTGTAATTTTTTTCAGGCAATGCTAAACCCAATACAACTATTTCAGGTGTTATCTAGTAAAAACAAAAAAAGATGTCATATGTTCTTAATTAATAATGTTTGCCCTCTTGTTGCCCAACCATGGTCTTCTGACCACACTTGATGTTTCTCTACCATTAATAAGTATTCCAGCTTCCATCTGTGAAACATTGGAGGTCATGTCACCTGAGCTCTCACTATGCTATTCCAATGAAAAGCATACCACTGCAAACAATATTTCACAACACACTATTCAGGAGAGAGATCTGATCTGATTCTATCAGACTACTTAGCTGTTTTAAGTTCCTGCCAGTCTTTGAGATACAGTAGATTTCTTATTAGACAAAACTGTTCAGTGCAAAAAAGCAGGAAAATACAGCAGTACTCTGTTTAGTTCAGCACAGAGTAGTAATTCCACATATAGCATTGCCACTATACTGAGCCATTTGCCACCTCAACAGTAGCAAATACCTGCTGAAGTCCCACACTCACCCACAGACATCATATATATATAAAAAGTGGAGGATTGCAGAACCATACTGCTATAGGCACATAGCCAGAGTAAAAGAGGGTGTATTATTCTCTGGTGATCACAACAGGTGAGATAACTGCT